TCACAATCGCCATGGTCTTAACTAGCTTTTGATCCACTTGAGTCTCCACTCATTTCGCTATCCATGGTTTGATATCCACTTTCATTAATATTCATACATGCCCCCATTAGATGATTCTTTTATGAATGGATCTACATCTCTACTAATATAATGTTGAAATGAATATGTAGGTTAGATGATCAACGAGCATCATATTCAACTACTGCTTGGTCATGTTGGCTGGAGCATCTAATTTCATGTGTTTAATGATTGTTAAAGGGGCATATTGGATAAATGATTTATGAATTAACTTACAAAATAAAATCTATAAGAAAGCTTAAATTATCGCATGTATAATTTACATATGTCTTAAGTTTTATCACCCTTTCAGTTTACCTTGCAGGTTGATGTGAGGAGAAATCAATGTTGATGTCCTTCATAGGCAAGGCTTCAACCTATACGTACATTACTACTCCGTGTTTAGTAGATTCTAAGAGAAGAAATTCACATGAGTCATCATCATAAATCTGAATTGTGATAAATTTACCACTCACTGGAAGCCGACAAATCAAATTTACAGTATGTGTTGAACTATCTTGTCGAAGTAGACGTAATATTTTTCTCTTTAGTTCATTTAATATTATCAGTTGTAAGATTTGTATCGGCCGATTTCTTCCGCCAATATAAATTGGGGTGAAATCATCCGTTACTCTTAACTCTCCATCAAAGCACGCCAATAAATAAAACATCTTACTACTCATATTGCAACATATAGTGTAATGTAAGTTTGACTTTAATATCATTTTCATGCGTAATTTCATCAATAATAAAAACTTAATAGACATAAGTGCATAATTTATGACGTCTAATAAGGATGTAATTCAAACATATCAGAGACAATCTTTCCAATTTAATATATCATGTTAAAAAGATTCACAATATGCACATAGTTTTCAGATTCTCTTCCCTCATAACTTCCAAATTATTACTTTTCACACACAAGTTCTATAACTTTAACAGTGGATTGATAATCGCTATATTGAAGGTGTGGTTATAAGTCCCCTTGTAAAATAGATCATTAGCAATTCGTTCCGGTTGGTTATTCTTTTTTGGTATCTTGTTTTTTTGTTCTTGTTGGTTCGTTGTTTGATCTTGTTGCTTCTATTGGTTATTTTCTTTACCCTTTGTAAGTTACCCTTCTTCTTTGTTGTTGGGCCAGTCTTCTGCGTTCTGTAGGTAATTATATTGACAATTCTTCAGAGCTTTTAGTTCTATTCCATTACCGAAATATGCCTAATTATTAGAAAAATCAATAGGGCATTTTCACGGGAGCTGAAACACCATTCAGTAGCAGAAACAACCGTTACACAACCAAATCAAGCAAAATAAAAAACACCAAAACGAAAAAGAAGGGTGGAAGGCAGCGTACCGGGGAAATATTTCCCAACGATTCGAAGAATACGATTCCCTGACTTATCAAGTCCCTCAAATCGCAGGATCTGAAGCGCGACGAGATCGGAGAAATCCTCCTGCAAGTAGTCAGCCTCCGCCGCGGCGGCCGCCTCTTCCGCAACAAGAGTTCGCCGCTCCGCCGGGTTGAGGAGGGAACAAGTGTCGACGCCAAGTTCCGCAGCCAAAACTTGTACGGAGAAATCCTCGTCGGACTGCTGCTCCATTATCAATGGCTTCGATTTGTTCTCCCCGCAGCCCCTTCTTCAACTTGAACTCTGCGTCCTGAAAGTGATGCGTCGCAGCCTCCACATTAACCTCACCGATTTGTTGCAGATGGATTTTTCTCTCTGTTATTATTATTATTATTCTGTTAGTTAGACATTGATAGGTTAATGAACTCTTGATACAAATTGAACATAAATTCATTTTCTGTAGTGCTTCATTATTGATACAACTTTATATTTGAACGTAGTTCATCATAGGATTTTAAATTTAAAAAAATATATATATTAGGTTGAATTGCAGAATCCCGTGATATCTTATCTGTATGAAATGAAATCGAACTGAATAACTCATCGATCTCTTCAAATCACTTTCGAACTGAATAATTCATCGATCTCTTCAAATCACTTCTGGACATACTTTTTAGAAATTTTTCTCAAAGATTGTAATATGTTCTTAAGACTTTATCATGCAAATAATAATTTGTCACGATCTCTCATGCAAACATGTATACCATAGTGATATGTTTTATTTTACATTCCTTGCAAAGCTGCACTTGTACGCAAGAAACAAAAATTATATTATCTGATTTAAAACATTATGAAACTTTGCTATAATATTTTAGAAATAAAATAACTAAATTGTAATAAGTTGAACATATTAGACCTTGTATCGTGAGGCGTCAGGTATGTCTTAGAACCCAATTAAAATATTCAGAAGCATTTATTGTCAAAATTCGAAATCTATACCCCCCACCATCCACTAATGACAATTTTGTAATATCTTGTTCAACTAACCAATCAAACACATCTTTTTAATATTCTTTATCTCATTCACGTCTTTATTGAACATGTGTTCTTTATCAGTGTCTATTGCCTGTTACATTCTATCACAAATAATATCAACATCAACAATAGCGAGACGAGGCAATGTTTTCTTAAAATTCTCTTTTAGATGTCACAAAAAATGCCCATGTGCAAACCATGAAAAAGCCTTTCTTGATCCTCTAAATAGCCCCGAGTGCCTATTTGATATTATTCAAAGGTCTACATAGAATCGAACTAACTCAACTAGACTATATATAATTATTGTAGAAAGCATAATCATGACTCAATTTCAAGACTCAACCACTGCAAATGTCAAAGGGAAGAGACTACGATTTCTATCAATATATATGACATCTCGTAGAGTTTCTCTACATTTTGTACTAAAAAAAAAAAATCTCATCAATACAAGTATTGGACGACAGAAGCTTCATCAATTTACATTTGGCATGAATGCCCTGAAAATTCCATAAAAGTGTGTCATGTTGTTAACTTGTATTCTGTAGATAGATCTAAATATCTCTATATATAGCTTCCATCATATGAAATAAGGAGCATTACTACTCATAAATGCTATAAATTAACTTTAACACCTTTATTCATGCATCTCAAATTTTAATATATGTAATATGGATATTCAATTCAGAATTTCCTTCACGCAACCATTATTTTTTATTTTTTATTTTTGTTTCAAGTTGAGTTGTTTTCATAAAATGGTACTAATGTAATGACAAATAAGACTTTAAGTGTAATTTCAATGACTACTCGACATAAATCTATCAGTACATGTATGTGAAGGTTTAACTGAAAAGATCTTCCAAGAAACCCCTAAGCAACTAATTTTTGAAGTATGTAATCGTCAATGACACAGGTATGAAATTATTAAGTAAAAGTGCAGAAGATGAAAGTTTAAAGAAGCTATTCCTTCATATATATAAATTGTGACTTTTGTTGTTTGCTTAAATTATTTTGAGTGTTTCACTGCATCTCTATGTTTATGCTTTGATTTCAAATTATATTTTGGTCGGTTTTCTTTTTTGCTTCAATTTTAGGTCTTTTTCTTTATATTTTGTCTCACTATTTTCTTGTCTTTTTTTTTTATTATTATTTGGCACTGTTAAAGTCAACAGTTTGTATTTTCTTGATTATTAGTAAAATTCAACTGTACTTTGAATATCTATGGTCTTTTTATTTTAGATATTCATAATACTTATAAGGAATATTAATGCTTTTATTTCAGCTAAAATCTCTTAATATTTTTTTCTTATATGTTGATATATTTAGAGATTTATCTAAGTTTTCAGCTATCTTGTTAGATCATTAGCATTTTGCTCCGGTTGGTTCTTCTTCTTTGTTGTTTATTGTTTTTTTGCTATTGTTGGTTCGTTGTTTAATCTTCTTATTCTATTGTTTTTACCTTTTTGGAAACTGTTTTCCTTCTAAGCTGTTGGACCATTCTTCTGGGACCCATGGGTGATTATATTGATAATTCTTAAGAGTATTTGGTTCTATTCCAATATTAAATGATGTGATTTGTTGATTTTTTTTGTGTTGTTTGGATTTTTGAAGTTGTTCACATCTTTGGAGCTATTAGGTTTTATTCATTGGATGTGTTGCTCATTTTAGTTGTCTAGGTTTTATTTTATCTGTTTTCAAATTTTTCTTAGGTTTTCTACCCTGTTTATTATTTTCATCCAAATTTTTCATTTTTTATTTGATTTTAATATTCTTAATTCTTGGATTGTAGTTTTACATTGAGGTTTTTACATACCAACCACCCAAAATATTGAACATACAAACTTTAAATATATCATTTTAATTATTTTTTTCATTTCGACCGCCCTCTTTTACCTACTAATGAAGCCTTTGGTTAATATTTTTGGTGGTTGCATTTAAATTTTTTAGTGATTAATAATACCTTATATTCAATATTTTGAATGGATGGTACATAAAAACCCCGTTTTTATTCTCTCTAGTTAACATTTTGAGCTCTTTTTCCTTGTCATCTTTCACTTTAGTTCATGTTTTCTATGGTCTTTTGCTCATGTTGGATGTATTATTATAATGGATTTATTATTATAAGTTGTTACTATTTCATTTTGATGGGTTCATTACTTCTAGCCTGGTTCTGTTAGATTTTTTGAACTAAAAATAAATTTAAATAGATATCTCAGCATTCCTCTTTTGTTCATCGAAGGATGTATTCATCAAGTCAATAAAAATTATTCGGAAAGTGCTCAGCATTCCTCTTTTGTTCATCGAAGGATGTATTTTTCAAGTCAACAATAAAAATTATTCGGAAAGTGTAGATGGTTGATATTTGTAGATATATAAGAATTGTGTGGTATAGTTGCCCCGTAATTATAATGCTTGCTGAAAGTTATGAAGATAAAATCAAAAGAAAATTAGGAAACACCATGAATGCCTAATGCCCTTAAACTCACAATTAATGCCAAATTAAAACCAGAATAAAATATCCAAAAAAAAAAAAATTGCAAAATTTATGGCTTCAATGCATTGCCCAGCACACAAGAATATGTCTCTCAACAAATATATTGTCATCAAAGTTTCACAGAAATGAATTATAGACCGCCAGATGTTAGATACAGATTTGTGCTTCAAATCTCTTAATGATCATCCTGGTAGTCAGGGTTCTCCTTCAAGATGACAAAACCTTCCAAAACTGGAGTGAGTGGAATGTACCTGAGTACAAAGCAACATTCAGAAACCAAATATGTGGGATAAAATTCAAGGAACAATTACATATAGATGATCGAGGCAGGCGTAAATGCACCAGTTTGGTAATTCAAAAAAATGACTTGTGATCTAAGTTTTATAGATAGCAAAATTTTGAGTGCCAGGCAAATAATTAATTATCCCTCAAGTTCAAATGAAAATTCATGCTATAAATATGAGATAATATAATTTTAAGGATTATCTTGTCTGAAAAAAATGCAATAATCAAGCAAAAAAGGTATCATATCGAAGTAGTAGTCAGATCTGATCAAATGTTATCTGGTAAATCGACTTATATTTGAGTAGAAAACCTTGCATTTAATAAACTTCTATCTAGAATAGAGACCTTGCATAATAATCCTCATCTCTGAGCAAAACAGCTTATACTTGAATAAGGCATCATACATCCATGCCTAAAAGAACTATGCGGGATCATTGCATACTTCTAATAGAATCAAGGGAAATTTACATACATACCACACAATTCTTATGAACTTACATATCTAACAGACTAACACTCAAAATTTGATATTTTATATTTGATATTTTCACTTATAACAACATGGTGTCATAAACATATGCATGAAAAAGGTGTATTTCACTTTTAAGAAGGTACTGATGATGGTATCTTTGATTTGATGTGAAAGATTTCAGTGGTATGCATGTAAATATGAATGTTTAGGTGTTAGATATGGAAATACACAAGAACTGTGGTATATTAGTATTAATAAATGACAGTTGATGTGGGTCTACTTTAAATGTGGATGTGGAAACTTATAGATGAACTAGAAAGGGTAGAATGTTTACTTCTCAGTCGCTAGCTCTGCTCGTTCCCCTGCTGCAAGCAACACGGGAGTCGAATGCGTCTGGAATCCAGTTATAGTCTTAGGCCGTCCCGCTTGACCCACCACATCAACTGCTTGTCCAACACGCACTGTTACAGATAGTGGCTTCAGCTTTTCATCAACAGTCATTAACATCCTCGGCTGCAAATAAGAGTAAAAAAGTACTGATATAATAAATAACTCCAACAAAAATGCAGATTTTTCAATGGAAACGAAAAATCAACAATCACTAAGCTTTACAAAACATACATGCATAGCCAGGGAAAGGATGTAGAACATATAGTGATACTTCCCCAAGATGATTGATTTCATATCAAGACAAGCATGCAGGACCGTCACTATTCCGGCGAGTGCCGTCCTGGAATGAAGGTTTCATTTTTTTTAGTTATCTTTTTTTCTCAAGATTATAAAATAATAGAGAAAAGTTTCAAAATGATCCCTCGACTCTTTACAAGAGGTCATGTTAGTCCCAGACCCTTTTTAAACTAAGTAGAAACAATACCCAATGAGGACTATTTAGCCTCATTAAAAAAATCTGTGGATTAATTTAGCACTTTCATAAACCTTGGAACTAAAATAATCTCATAAAAATTGTCCTGGAATTACTTCGGCACTTTACTCTAAAATAAAATGGATTTACATACGGAGATAGAAGAAACCGATCTGAATGATAGGGAGATAGAGTCAATAACCCCTTTCCGAGGTGCACAAGACCTTGAGCTATCCTAACCTGTAGAAGGTAGAGGACAGAATCACCAAGAACTCGAAATGTGACTCTTATATATATAATATAGAACAAACACTATCGACGGATTGAGTGCTTACGCAGAATAGGTGGCCAGCTTCTTTGTAGTAATAACTTGAAAGATTACGGAGCATGCCGGCTATTCGTGCATTATTGGTTCCAGCACCTATCAAGCCCAATGATATTATCGCAGCCTGCAGAGAATTGGGATCAGCAGAAAAAGAAGAATTTGGAATTGGAAGTAAATATATAATGAATCAAAAGATATTTAAGTAGATACCATAGAAACATCAGTATCTGCATCATGACTCAGTCGGCTTAATGTGTCCATGACATTAACCTATCCAAAGCATTAAGCAGAAAAGCAATTCAGTTGGCCATTTCAAACAAAACAGTTCTTGTGGCGATTAGATTTAATGCAGGTAGAATATCAATTGCTAGCTGCTAGAAGGATCAAATCTGAATGGTGATTGCAATTGGTAAAAGTTATGATCGTCATTGTTAGCATCAATTGCGAAGCCATGAACTTTTTCTAAGTGGGCACAATCTGACGATTTAAAAACTATACTCATTTTTTTATTATAACCTAGTAATTTTAATAATGCATATATTTTTTATTCTTTATATTATTTATTAAATAAATAAAGTTATGTATAAATTACAAAAAAACATTTTCAACTTTTTAATGTGATTATAAGAAATAACAAATACATAAATATAAATAATAAATAAATAAATTATTTTGTATCAGCATGCATATATTGCATTATTTCAGTAGAATAATGTGTATCCTAATAAACTAGAATATAAATTCTAGTTTTTCATAAGGTTTTTAAGAAAATCAGTTTCAAAATCGTTCATCAATTATGATTGTTTCAATAATTTTATCAGTTTTAAAATTTAGTTTTCATTTAATATTAATTCCGGGAATAATGTTATTATAAAATATTTAAATATGCCGATTTTTCATATAATTGGGATTCAAAAGTTAATATTTAAAAAATCAATGAGAGATCAATGATTGAATTCACATAGAATTTTGATGACTTATCAAATATTCTAGCAATATTTTATTTCAAAATCTATTAGTTTGAAATGGAATTGAATTTTAACTTAACATTATCTAAAACTTTGTCAGAATATTTGCATATAAAATTTTTGGGGGGCCTGAGCCTCTTCGGACCCCTATTGAATCCCCAGTATATGGCATCAGTGGTAATGTTGACCTAATTAGCCCAATTTACAACTAGTGTGAGAAACAAGGTATGTATTATATTACAATTGACAAGCCAATTTGCTTTAGAACAAATAAAAGTACCTTAGGGTTCGATATGCATAAAATACCAAGGGCCAAAGGTACAGCCCGCCTGATATTCTGCTCCCCGTATTGTAGAAGATGTTCCAGTGATCTAATAGACATTTCAAGGCCCAATTCTTCTGCCATGGCGACCAAAGCAATGCCAAGGACTGCAGGGCCTTGATGCACGTCACCCTTGTCAAGATGTTGTGCACAATAGCCCAATAACTTTTGAACCTGCAAGAAAGACAATTTAGCGGTTAAAGTTACTGCTGCGCTAATATTGAAGATTTAGGTATTTAGGCTTGGAAAGAAGACCTTGAGAACATTCCCAGTCCCAGCATAAGCCATGGATAAAAGTGTAACATCGCAATATTTCCGAATCTTTTCATTAAATGTCCTGGAGACCTCTGCAGTAGCCTCAACGCTATCCTGCATGATACCAGAGTACCATAACCGAAATGCTAAGTCCAAACAAGCAATAGTGAGCAGCAAGTATTAAAAATTAATAAAGAAAGACAATAAAATTGGTATATTTTATCCATTGGCCATTACAACAAAGTCAAAAAAAACCACCAAAATATTATTGCCAAAGTACTCAGAAACTACAGCTTGGTTATATAAAGCATGATTCATAACGACTTTCAACAGAAAAGGTGAAGCTACAGGTTGTATAAAGCAGGATTTATAAATACAAACAACAGAAACTGATACAAATATCCATATAAAAAAATGTTTAAATTATTGCTAAAAGAGGAAATTCAAGAATCAATCAGAAAAGAAAGAATCAAACAGATCCTTCATCAACAAATTATCAGACATCATACAGTACCATTCAATCCAGTCATAGAGCTGTCCTGTCATAATAGTCTTTTTTATCTTTGTGTGTGTGTGTGTGAAAGCAAATAAAATCAAATGAACTTGAAGTAGAATGACAGAGGGGAGGGTTCCTTGATACATCTGTCTAGAGTTTCTTATTCTAAGAAGTCACTTTTCAATTGATCTTTTAATGAGCCTATCTAGTTCCTATGTCATCCTTTTATAATAATAGTTAATGTCAATTATACTAAAGATGGTAAGAAGCTCACTTTGACAAAAAAATCAACATAAGAATTCATCACAAGTTAAGAGATGGAGTTGATTGTGGAGCCAAAATTGTCGACCCATATAATCAAGTCGGCATCCCAACTGCTTGAAAACAATTTCTTCTTGATCATTGAGGTAAATGGCCCTCAGTTTAGCATCTTCCCAGACCAATTTATGAGTTCCTCTAGGTCTCAACTTCTTTCAGTGGCACCCCAATCTATTCGAGGTTACTCCTGGCAACATCGTATAACCTCTGAAAAGTCCTCTTTCTCTGCTTCCAGGTCCACTTGGCTTATCCTCCACACCATCGAATAAAGTCAAATGAGCTCTAGATCATATGCCCTCTCTTTAATAGGTGATTTACTCCTGTGAATATGCAGAAGAAGAAACTCAATTTCTTTATCTAAGGTGTGCCAGTTTTCTTTGAAGGTCATGGTCATTTGCCTTTGTCTATTGATTTAACAGAGCACCATGAAGCTACAGAGAGTCGTCTCAACTATCTTCTCCAATCAGTCTTTCCTCCGCTAATTATCTCGATCAGAATTAGATTATTGAAAGCAGTTAGGATTTCTTTAAAATTGAAGGCTCAAATGACTTCAAATGCATTCGCCACATTAGATCTCCATGCATGTGGGTAGAGCAAATTAGTATGCATGATCGCCAATCTTGTCAAGAGGTTTGACTGATCCATATCTAATTGTTTTCTATCTTTTTAAATCCCTCTTGTTGATGTGGAGCCACGCGAGATCATCTTCATCTTCTATACTTCATGCCAATCATGTTGATACTTGTAGTGTTATTGTGGCTAGGTGAGCTATCTACAACTCAAGGTGAATTGCTCTGATTCCTTTAAGGAATCATTGAGCCCTCTTAAGGCCTTAATTTTTGTTCTCAAAGGCTGTTGATTCTACCCAATTTCAAAGGGAATTTAAGACAATTATCCCAAGGCATGGAGTTCAGTATATGAAATTATGTAACTCTGATTCTCTGTTCTCTGTATCAACTATCCTCAAGTGACATGCGTTAATCCTCTCGAAAGATGCATGATAGTCCTATTTATAACCTAACTTTGGCCATCAATTTGTGGATAAAAAATCATAGTTCTTCTCAAAGTATTGTCCTTGTAGCCCACTTTGATTTCCACAAAAACTATTTTGAAAAAAGTGAATCTCTATTTCAAAATAACAAAACTCGCTAAATCAAAATGAACCCAGGCATTCTTGGTCAATACACATATCTCTATAGGTTGTGAAGTATCCTCATCGCCTAGTAGCGTCTGGCCACCTAGGAAGTGTGCACTTCTCTAATCCACTTCACTCTTTAACCATCTTCATTAATAGAGAGTTAATTGTCCTAGCAGAAAATCCTTCTCAGATGGTGCATACTTCATTTTGGGCTCCCTCGAAAATGTCTAGAGTCTTCACTAAGCTTATGCAAGTTGCTCCTATTGCTAAGTAGCTTACAACAAGTTTATCACTGATAGTATCACCTGAGATCGTGAGAGCATCTCTACCGCCTTATTTTGTAAACCCAATTTGTACCGGTGACCAAATTGAATTGCTACAAATATGCAATCAACTTCATGCAGTGATGTTGCTAAAGCATTTAGTGTCTAAAGGTATTGAAGGGGCTTGTGCTTAGTATGTAATGTTTCACTGCTTGATGAAATGCGAGAAGTTCCTCATCATATCA